AGTGGGAGATCTACGTCAGTGTTATTTAAAGCCTTTAAATAATAATAAAAATAAATAATAATAAAGGCTTTAAATAACACTGACGTGGATCTCCCACTGCAGTACACAACACACAGCACATAGGAAACATCTAACCATAAGCCATACAACCTCAAGCTGACATCTCCCATCTTCGGGATGAATTAACAAGGAGGAGCTTAACATTTTACTTCAAATGTTTTAAATTTTAAATATTTTAACATTGGCGTTTTAACTTGAGGGCAGTTTCGGATGAATGTGAGAATTGAACGTGCATTCAACAATCCTAGCAAGTGTTGTGCTTTTACACGTCGACATATTGTAGCAGTGTCCACGCAGCAAACAGAACTGTGTACATCTTAAACAACGACAGTGTTTTCATGATTGTACTATGTGCCTCTGATGATGGTTTTATTAAACCGAAACATGTAAGGCAGAAGTGATAAAGAAGTGACCTATAAATTGTTACACTCGACGGACTTTCTATTGACTTTACGATAGTGAACCTTACTTCTGCATAATAAGCACATAATTTCTTGATCAGTTGAGCGACTATCAATTTCCGAGGCCAAATCCATGCGGTCAGTAAGTCAGTTAACGTAAAATTTAAAATGTCACTTCCTGACCGAGGATTTCAGACATCCCAATAAGTTCATAACAAATGTGCAATGGGCTACTCTACCTGTCACACTGATTCATGTGTTTCAGAGAAGGGGGCCCAGTGTCCCACGAGGGTCCTTAACTCCCACGTTTCGGGTTGTATCAGCGGACTCTGCTGCTCTCTGGAGGGTACCTGTGTTGAGAAGACAGTGCCATTTGGAGCTTAGAGCACGGAACCCACTTCATATTAAAACAAACCTGTCAACACTGTAATGTGTACAAAGTTATTAAATTAATTATCGTAAATTTACTGCATTGTACTGTCTTTACACAAATATCAATTCTGTACAGGTAGTTCAGTCGGTATATCGATTGGTTACGAACTGGACGACAGAGGGGTCAGAGTTCGAGCACAAGTAGAGTTAAGAATTTTCTCTCCCCCACGTCGTCAAGACCGACTCTGGGGTCCACCTAACCTCCTATCCAATGGTTACTGGGGGCTCTTACTCAGGGGGTAAAGCGGCCGGGGCTTGAAACTGACCACTCACCTCCAACTAGTGCCGAGGTCAAGAAAATGTGGATCCACTCCCCCAAACCGCCTTCCTGGCGTAGTGCTTAATTATTTAAGTACAGGGACAACTTTACATACACAGAAACAATACAAAAGCAAAATATTGACCAAAAAATGAGGACAAGAATCAACTGCAAAAATCATCATCATCATCATCAGTAATCTGTCAAGACGACAGGTCTACAGTCTCTTTCAAAACAATTCCTCCACTTAATGCGATCTACAGATTTCTCCTTCAAATGACAGTATCCTCTTCTGTCCCCAAGGTCATCCAGCATCTTCTTACGTCTTCTTCCTCGTCTTCTTGTCACTTCTATCCGCCCATCTATCTTTCCTTCGATAGCTTCTTTTAGAAGGCAGTTTCTGCGTAAAACATGACCAATCCAATTAGCCTTCCGTTTTCTTATTTCATGTAGGATATTCCTCTGCTCACTGACTCTAATTAACACTTCTTCATTTCTCACATAATCGGTCCAACTGATCTTCTCCATTCTTCTCCAACACCACATTTCGAAACTTTCCAGATGTTTCTGATCTACTGCCCTAAGTGTCCATGTTTCAGCCCCATACAGAGCTATGCTCCAAATGTAGCATTTCACTAGTTTCTTCCTCAAATTTAAGTCCAATTTGCTGGTAAAAAGATTCTTCTTCTTGCTAAATGCAGCTTTTGCCATGGCAATCCTGGATTTAATTTCACAAGTACACCTTCCATCATCTGTTAACAAGCTACCCAAATATTTAAAACATTTCACATTCTCCACTTGTTTTTGGTCTATCTTTATTGTGACTGGGGTTGGTTGTCTCGAAATTTTCATTACTTTTGTTTTCTCCACATTCATTTCCATGCCATAGCACCTTCCAATTTCAATTAGTCTATCAATCATGCCCTGTAGCACAGTTTCTTCCTTAGCCATTAACACAAGGTCATCTGCATATTTCACAGTTTGAATAATTTGCCCTCCTACTTTGAAGTCACCGAGCCCATCCAGAGCTTCCTTGGTAAGGCATTCGCTGTACAAGTTGAACAGAATTGGTGATAAACAGCATCCTTGTCGAACTCCTCTTCCAATCTGCACACTTCCTGTCTCCCCCCTGTCCAGTCGTACTCTAACTTTCTGATCCATGTACAATTTGCTAATCAATCTTCTTTCATGCCAATCGATACCTGTTTCTTTCAGGATCTGCATTAATTTGGTCCAGTTTACCCGGTCAAATGCCTTCTGCCAGTCTATGAAGCAAACACACAGTTCTTCATCTATCTCCAAAGTTCGTTCCGCTATAATTCTCATCATCCCAATTGCATCCCTGGTTCCTTTTCCTCTTCTAAATCCAAACTGATCTTCTCCAAGTACATCCTCTATTTTCCTTTCAATTCTTCTTTTAAGTATCTTTGCTATTATCTTTGCTGTATGTGCAATAAGACTTATTGTGCGATGGTCGCTGCATTTTGTAGCTTTTGTCTTTTTCTTTAAGGCAATCATTGTAACTTCTGTAAAGTCCTTGGGCCACTCTCCACTTTCATATATGGTGTTCATTAGTTTTGTCAGTGTTTTCAAACCACCTTCTCCCAGTAACTTGAGCACATCTCCAGGTACATCATCATCTCCTGTAGCCTTTCCCTTCCTCATTTCCTTGATAGCTTTTTCCACCTCACTTTGTAAAATATATGGTCCTTTCTCGTCTGTATCTACTTCTTCTTCCGGTTCAACTTCTAAGGTTTCTGGCCGATTAGGTCGATCATATAGTTCTGAAATATAATTTTCCCAAATTTTCAGCACTTGCCTCTGATCTACTATTCTATTCCCCTGGGAGTCTTCGATGCCAACATTTTGAATCCCATGATTCTCTTTCCATCCTAGTTCTTTTGTCTTCATGTACATCAAATCATAACGGCCTGTTCTTTGAAATTCCATAATCTCATTACATATCTTCTCAAGATATTCCTTTTTGGCCCTGTCCGTGGCTCTTTTCAATTCATTCCTCAGTCTCCTGTATTTCCTCCTGCCTTCTTCATTGTTGACATTCTTCCATTTCCTTCGCTCCTCCATTTTACTCATCATCTCCTGTGTAACCCATGGTTTTCTTGCTATCTTCTCAACTTTACCTACCAAATCACTGATAGTATCTAACATGCATTCTTTTATATCGTTCCACTGCGCTTCAGCATTTCCGCTTTCACCTTCAATTGCACCGAGTTTCTCTTCTAGAGTCTCTTGCACGCTTTGTCTTTGAGCATATAACTTCTCCAAATCCCATCTGGGTCTGCGCTTTCGAAATCCTATAATTTTCTTCAACCTGGTTCGGAACTTGGCAACCAGCAAGTTGTGGTCAGAGTCAATGTCTGCCCCAGGAAGCGTCTTCACATCCTTCACACTGTTTCTGAATCGATGTTTCACAAGGATGTAGTCCAGCTGATGCCTCTTCCAATCCCCAGGTGCCTTCCATGTGTAAATTCTTCTCTTTGGCTTCTTGAACCAAGTGTTGGTAACAATCAATCCATTTCGTTCACAAAAGTCAATAAGCATTTGACCTCTGTGATTCCGTCTTCCTAGTCCATGTGATCCAACAATATTCTGATATGGTTCATCTCCAACAATGCTGTTCCAGTCTCCCAATATGATGCTGTTTGTGTCTCCTCTTCCATCTTCCTGAAGAATTTCTTCAATTGTGTCATACACTTTTTCCACTTCATCGTCTTCATACTCTGATGTTGGCATGTACACTTGTATAATCAGTATATCTACCGGTTCTGCCTTTAACTTCAGAGCAATAATTCTGTCATTACAAACAATCTTCTTAACAACACTCCTCACTGCACTTTTATGCACCACTGTTGCCACACCTCCGGAATAATACACTGTATAATCACCGCTTCTTATTTCACCTTGTCCTTTCCACCGCACTTCGCTGACACCTAGAACAGACACTTCATTCTTCTGCATTTCCGTTTTCAAATTCTCCAATTTTCCTGCTTGATTCAAGGTCCTGACATTCCATGTTCCAATCTTGTATCCATGCTGTTTCTTCTGATCTTCGCACTTTTTCGTGTTGTAACGCCTGCATGACATTTCCTCTAGAAACACTCCCCCCCCGGAGATCTGCAAAGAACAGCAGAAGAGGACAGCATTTTACTTTCTTTTATGTCAACTATGATTTACCTCAGTTTTAAACCACAAACTGAACTAAAGTAATTTAACTGGACAACAATTTACAGTGTAACATCTCGCGTGTTACGGTATATAGACGTCCCTGATGAGCGCGTGTCGTAACAACATGCTGAACGAGTTCTGGCTTTCCCATTACACCCTCCATGCATTCTTATTTGCTCCCAAGCATACTACGTGGGTTACTTCAAAAGTCATGTCAACAATTTTTCCGAAATTTCGAAAGCTACCGGAATTTCCAAATTTGCCACTGAGAGACAGCAAAGTCTGATTTCTAATAATGCCGCTAGATGATGCGGAAGTCCAAGGACAACGAAGCGAGTCCAGTGAGAAGTCAGTGTGAACATAAGCTTCGTCTAGAATGAACATTAGCCGGCTGGAACAGCGTTGTTACGTGAAAATAGCAGTGTTTCGCGGCAGAAATGCAACTGAATGTCACTCAGAGCTTGTGGAAGCCCTGGGTGACCGTGCTCTACCATACAGAACTGTTGCTGGATAGAAGTATTCCAACGTGGAGGAGAAGCAAGTGCCGACTTGTAACGTAGTGGACGCCATGTGTCCGTTTGTACTGATGTTTCTCGTGCCGTGATCGCCCAGTGCAAGGAGGAAGATAGGCGCTGGTCTCTGAACGAGTTGGAGAGACATACAGGGATTGACCAGGCAACTGTGCATAACTTACATCATGCAATTAGTAATAAACCTCCTGAACTGCTTAACAATGCCATCGTCCTTCACAACAATGCAACCGCCCACACAACAAACAGTGTCAAGAACCCTTTACGACGGTGGGGACGGGAAGTACTACACCATCCCCTATGTTCACCCGATCTTCCGCCATGCGACTATGACTTAATATCCAAATTGAAACAGCCATTGCGAGGGAAACGCTTTCGTACACGAGAGGACATTTCCAACGCAGTTCGGCCTGAGATGACAAGATTTGGAGATGGTGAAGCTGATGGTATTCACCGTCTTCCTCATCGCTGGCAGCGAGTACTCGATACACTTGGAGACTACTTTGAAGGTTGCTAGTCGTAATGTAAGAATTTAGATTTAACTCACATTGAATTTTTTTTTCTTAATCACAATTGAATTTTTCGAGGATTAAAGAATGAAAAGAAACAGTCATTCCGTAATGTGCAATTTTTCTTGCCTACTGTACCTACGCCCCTTCACATCTACCTGATCTGACTAAGCCAATCGGAGGGGTATATCATGCCCTTTCATAAGTATATTTTGAACTTTCTTCACTATAACATGTTTGCCCCCAAAAAATTAGTTGCCATGACTTTTGAAGTAACCCACGTACATGCTATGCCTATCTCATCATCCTTGACTTGGTCATTCTTGTAATTATATCCGGTAAGCAGCACAAGTTATGAAACTCCTCACTATGCGATCTTTTCCAGCCATGTATTAATTTATCCTTCTTTGGGTCTAAATATTCGCCTCAGCACTCTGTTCTTAAACACCCTCAGTCTATGTTCCTCCCTTAATGTCATGAATTATCCTGACTAATTGCGATGCTTTTCGCGGTGTTTCTTAGTCCGTTCAGCCAAATTCTGCGATGGTGCC